GAATATCCCAAACTTTTATTCATGTCAGTAGCTTATGCTGATTTTTTTTAAAAGAGTAATTAAAATAAAAATATAAGAATACTTCATCATCAAATTGAAAATCTTTAATAAAAAAATAAAAATAAAAATCACATCTCCACTTGTTTTTGGGGAACACTTAGTTTGTCATAATACCAAAATACCAAAATGTCATTTGGTGGTACATCAAACATTAACTACTGTAGGTCTTCCTAAAATCTTTAGGACATTTTAACAGTATTTCAGGAAGGATTATTTTGATTTCTTTGAAACTTTTTAAAGGGAAAGTCTTCATATCCATTAAAAACACATTTAAAAACATGAACGCTGGTGCATTCCTCCTTCATTATTCAATCATTCTCTGAAAGTGACACATTTTTCCTATTTTTCAGTGGCTTTAACATCACATTTGGTGGCTTTAATTGACAAGCACATGTTTGTATTATGTTGATGTCAAGGTGACATGTGGCCGCCAATTGTTAATGTCGCACCAAATGACATTTTGATACGACAAACTGAGTCTACTGAATACAACACAACACATAGGGACAGAAATTAGGTTGGAATTGAGCGACTATTAGTGGAGATATGCAATTCTAAAAGTTGAAGATTTTTCATTTTGATGATAAATTACTGATATTAGAGTTTCTAGCATAAGCTATTGGCATGAATACAACTTTTTCTTGAGGTTTCTGGGATATTCTGTGAAAAATCAAAAATCAAAATCTGCCAAATCTTGTGAAAAATAAGCAAATGATGAGGCTTTAAGAAGTTCTGTGGGATTTTGCAAGACTTTGTAGAAGTTTTTCCAAGATTTCTTTTTCTTTTTTTTAAAGAAAATCCCGGTCCTCAACTGGGAGAAGTTCTGAAATCTGGGTGAACAGGCATGGGATGACCCACCTCCTATCCCCTCCTCCCCCTTTGCCTCTACCGACTTTATACGGAGCTACAGGTACATTCAGCACATTCTACTTTCCTTCTACGAAAGCCAGCGCACAACACAGTCCTCACCTCCAAAATATTGCCGTCTAACAGAGCCACATCTTCCCCCAGACCTCAAAACTAGGCCACGGATGAACCAGTGCCGGTGCAGCACAAACATTCAAATCTGCATATCAAGATAAAAATATCTTGTGGTCACGGCCACCGACCACGTGCTTCTCCTGACTGTCACATCTGGACACATGTCATGCCCGGACTCAGCTCAACAGATTGCCGGTAAACGCAGGGATTTCCCCATTCTGTGTAGCATGAGAGGAATGTTACTGCATATTCCTGGAAGTTATGAAACACGAGTGGGCGGGGCCATTCCTTATTCTATGGAAGAACATGAGGGTGGGATTCCTGAACACATAAAAATAACACGATTAAAAGTTATGAGGTGAAGTCGGAGTTTCGGAGGTTGAGACACTAGTTGTGAACCGCGATGACCTCTGTGTGACTCCTGATGCGGGTCAGCACTCATCTTGATGTTTTTAAAATCTGTCATAAAATCACCCTGAACAGACGTCTAATAAACATCTCTGGTCAAAATGCTGCTGAGGGCTATGAAATGCTGGTATTTAGTACATTTAAAGGTTAAAAATGTACTCTGCTGCAGCTTTTATCATGTCAACAAAAAAACAGCCTTTGGAGCTGCCTCCCTTGTTTTTTTTCACAATTTAAACTATGGCCTTCAGCCAGCTGTCTGCTAATTAAAATTTTGCAGCTATATGTGATATTTTACTGCTTAGAAAGTGTTTAAACTGTGGTGTTTTGTTAAGCTAGCTGTTGCACAGGATTTCATTTGCTGGGAGGAATTTAATGCATTTACAGAATCCATTTAGAAGCCGACTTTAATGG